TGATTCAGTCAGGGGAGGGGTAGACCGCCTATTGGCATGACCGATCTGATAGAGACGCCAAGAAAACAAAGCATTAAACGTCAGCTTCGCCGACTGATCAAACATCGTAGAGGCCATGCCTTGGGCCCTTATATATGCTCGTCAACACGAAGGGACTCGCTACCGTTGGAAGGTCCGGGCGCCAAAACGTAGAGCGGAGACTACCAGAAAAACCTTTGACGAAACGTGCATTGGCTGCTCCCTGATTACAAATGATGTATAGAGAGATGCATGATCAAAAATCGAAAATCAAGTCAATACTGCTCTGTTGAAGCACTTCGACAACCGTCACGTACATGTGTACACATACAAAACTTTGACATGGTTACAACGAAAGGAAAATAATAAAGGCTCACAGACGGCAAAACGATTGAGCGGACATAGGATACAGAACGAGACGGCAAAACAGTAATTTGAATAAGAATATGTACAACTCGATAATGCAGTAAATAAACAGATACGTTAGCGAGGAAACAATAATCTGATATATATATATAGCCGCCTTAGGGCTATACCGTTGCTATACGTCTCATTCTTGCACAAACCAGAATTAACACAGTATTGTGTGAATTGCAGCTCGAAAGAAGGCGATTCCAATGGCGGGAAAACACGGCTGCCACTGATCTATTCGAATTGGCGCCTATCGTGTGGGCTCAGTTGCGATGTTCGTCAATGGGGGGAAAAAGCACCACGCTGTTTAACTTCGATACTGTCTCGTAAAAGCCTCTGTTCTAACCCTAATATCGTTAGGAAATAGATGGTCTCTAATGTTATGTAGATATCTACGTGCAACGTACAAAAACGACAGGTATAACTTTATCACTTACCTAAACCTTTTAAGCTAGTACTCAGCCACCCTCGTAATGATACAGTAATAACGTATTTTCCCACTAAAATTAGGGATTGTGGTGGTCTAGATTCAAAACTGGTTCGTATTGGGAGCCAGCAACCTGAAGCAATGCTTAACGGTAGTACCGGACGCAGGATTCAGAATATTTATTTAGGCCAGTAAACAGCCACTCATGCACTCGTTTCGCTTATGACAGTCGACAAAGCTGTACTGAACTATGTACCTACTATAGTTTAGCTAGAACGCGGGTCGAAATAGTAAATCGAAGTAGAGGCTAAGCGAAGCTCTTCTGTTCGATGGAAGCCTGTAGACACTAATCTAATCCCATGCTTGTGTGGACGGTTAGGTCCTTGGAGGCATTTTCAATACCATATGGCGAAATCTGGTACGCTGTGTGTTTGTCCGTGGTTATGCGGCAGCTCACTAGGCGCCGTTTATATCGTTTCGGCCATCGCAATCCACTGGCTCACTCAGGTCTCGCTGACCCCTTATTGGTTATTGGCCTTCGGCACCCTGACCGCCAAAATTCTCAAGGATACTTTTAGGTCTCCCAGACCATCGGCGTTGGAGGTGGTCGCTCTTGCTGGTGGTGGGTCTATCAGTAAGGCGTTTCAAGAAGAAAATGAATCTCTGACAGTCTGCGAGGCGACTGCTAGAAATGCGCTAGGAATGGTAATGACAACGGCTGTGACACTCCAGGGACGCATCTCGACTCGTTGAAGTGAAAGTAAGCAAGATGGGCGTATTACAACCAACAAGACGGGTGGCATGCAAGCGGTCAGACAAAAAGCTTCTCGCTGCCCCCACCCGCCTTGTTGGCTATTGGTACCCGTTGTCCCTCAATAGTCCTGTTTGCCTCTGCTTAGCCAACTGGTTCGTCTTCGACACGTTGACCGCTTGGTCACGGGCGATCGCCAATTTCGTGCCTCGCCGAAAAGAAACCTAGGTAGGATTTTGGCTCGGGGAGACGCTGCAGTCGTATGGACCGACAATGAAGATCGCAGCAAAGGCAGTATCAACTTTGCTTGAAAAGGAGTTACTCGTCGCATGCATGGCTGACTTGCAGACCGACTCGCTAAGTAAGACCGACTACTTCAGTAAGCGCACCCCAAGCAGTACCCAGGTAGACTCTATAGAACATAGGCTACAGATTGACTTGTTGACGGGACGACAACTGAGCGAGTTTGGAATGGTAATTCGTAATAGATTAATAAGAATGAATTTTAACTTGTTAGTTAGTATGTTGAAGCCTGTCCATGCAATGGCCCCAGTTATCATTCTGAAAAACGACTATATTGATTTTATTATTAATATTATTACAATATAACTCTAATTAAAAAAAGTCGTCGGGTTGTCAAATATATGAGAAAAAAAAATGGCACGTAGATTCCAAAAAAAGAGTAAAAGCGGCATTTCTGGGGTTAAGATAATAGCTGACCGTAGCGATAAATGTATACATATATATTCTCGTTAAGTGATATAAGCAAATTATGACTCAATGGACCAGTTGAAATGGACACGATTTACCAGAATGAATCCCAATCGGTCCTTGAGGATTATGTGGTAACGTAATAACGATTTTAAATTAGGATAGTAAGAAACAAATCATAACTTGCAGTAACGGTCCAAAGGTACGCTTTTCACTTTGACGGTCTTTTGGAGTTTTGGCCTGTTGCGTCAAGCCGGTCATTTGCGCGACATAGGTTAAACACTACCTTTCCCGAAATACAAATGGAGTTTCGTATGGCAACCTTTATTAGCACCGAAGTGTCATTTAATAGTACGCGTGACCTACACCATAACATTTATCGACAGTCATAAAAGCGCCTCCAATAGTGACGAAATCAAAGAGTATGCTTTTGATCATCTTTAGCTGTATAGTTAAGTATATGCGTATAGAGAATCGTCAAAGCTGAGCTGCCCAGAGACTTGGGCGAGATGGTCGGCCAGGCTAAAAGGTGTGATAGAGGACGTGATTACGACTCTGGAGACAGCGGCGGGCGTCGACGGCTAGGAAAGAATGTGATGGTGCATAGGCATCCATGAGCATGATCCGAAAATCCGAGAATAAATATCGTTGCTTAGCAAACGAAACACTCATCATAGCGTTGATAAGCAGACAGTTTGATTACAGTAAACCATGGATGGCTGCGAGATTTTTAGAATCTTCCGTCGATCGCTGTTTACGAACAAGGCATATATGTCTTTATATAATGCCTTGTTCGTTCGAAGAAACTTCAACGAGCCTAACTTTGTTAGAGCGGGCGTAACGTTTCTGTACTGTTCTTAGTATCGGAAGCAAGCCAGTTCCTTGTAAAATAAAACGAAGGAACTCACGGTGAAGAGTAATACGTCGATCTCAGGACGCTTTTATCTAACACAGCGTAACGGGCATTTTACTGTAGAGATCCGAGCAAGCAGTGCGAATTAATCGAGATACGGTCTTAAGAAGACATTTTTACTAACCTTAATTCACTCAGGCCATCGACAAGAACTTTGTTGTGAGCGGCCTATGCGAGGTAGACTCCGAACACTTCGCCAGCTAAGCTGCATAGCAAACATCTAGAATTAACAAGATGATTCCCAATGGCATTTTCAAGTGAACCATGCCAAAATCACAGTGTACAAACGTTTGGCGTGCAGCTATGTTATGCACATTACGACGAGAACAAGTAGTCATACCGACCACATATGAATGCTAAAACTGAAGCGTGATCTTCTCTTTTGGAAAAGATGCTTCATAGTCAGTTAGCTGTGCATCTTGTAACACGGCTTTTTCTTCTGAATGGACGAAGCACTGGAAGCAAGTTTAACCTGATGGCCGTTGTTGCGGCAGGCCGAAGTGGACCCAAAGCAAAACTCAAGGTCTCACTCTTCAAAGATCCATTGGATGGACATTTCGCTGACAAATAGGGAAAAAGTAAAAAGCAAGCTATGGCGCTCGATCCTATGGAAGAAAAAATGCTATATTACCTACTGCAAGACACGAAGTTTTGTCAGCTTCCTTCGCACGATTCACGAATATTTCTTTTCGTGCAAGTGTTCTCACGGTGGGAACTTAGTGGCCCTCTTAATTTAAAGAACATGTGGCTTGGAAAACATTGTAACTTTAGATTGGTTTATAATGCTATTGAACGTTTTTGCTATGTAAAAAATATCGATTTTTAAGCACTGTGTTTACTTGAGTTGGATTACTACAGGCATAAATCGTCAGTGCAATAGGTCGATTATGACATTTGAAGTAGGGTATTTTCATCTATGACCTCAAAATTTCGAAACGAGGACATCATAATTCCGTTGGAACTATTTTTGGAATTTAGCGCTTTTTTTCTAATTTTATGATTAATATAAATACTAAAGCTATTTTTGTTGCAGAACTATGCAAGCATAGAACAATACTGTATGCGTCATTTCAATTAGACCTTTGCCATTTTATTGTTCGCCTCGGAAATTAATTCCCTTTTGATAGCGGAAGATCAATAGGTAGTAGTAGTAGTAGCAGGAAGCTGAGATGCCTATCAGTCACGTTACACATATTCAAAGCCTGAAAACAGCTGCATTTAGTACAATCTGATGGTATAGGCTAGTGGACGCCATGAGGATTTGTACAATGGAGACGTGTTCCTGTTGGCGAACTTAGGGTCAATGACGTTAGTGGCGGACCCTTCGGTCTTCGCAAACATAGAACGGGAATTCATTGGCATCCATCCCTTGACTTATCGAAGCTGCTGAAATACCTTAAATTGTTTTATATTAAAGCTCCAGTTTAAACAGTCTACTAATATAATGAAAATTCGAATTTAGACGTCCAATGTCGTTAGCTTTTTTACTTGATCACATTTGTCGTGTAATATATGTGACTCGGACCTTCAATGCCAGTAACGCAAGCAAATAATAAAATTCTCTGTGTAGTTGGTTAAGTATAGCACTACGAAGTAATCTTCTTAAACGGTACATGTGAGAAATTGAAAAGAAATCGAAACGACTTCGCGTAGAGTATACTATATATTTTTCCTCCTTGGCAACAAAGAGAATATCTACTGTGGTAAACTATAAGTGTGTCCGAAGAAATGACGACGCATTTATCCTAATGCTTAATTTTTGTTTTTAGGGTCAATCATCTGGATTGCCGTGTTCTCGTATCTGATGGTGTGGTGGGCAACCGTGGTTGGAGACACTTTCGGCATTCCTTCAGAGGTGTGTAGTTTAGGCGTAACAGTAATCCGTAATAGCTTTAGTATTAGCATCTATTTGTTGTGGCAACGCAAGCACTTCCTCAACAGAAAGTAATGTCTAAAATAGTATATCTAACTAGCTATCCGAATGGGTAGAATATTCTTACCGTTGTATCCTATATGTTTACACAGAAACGCCACTTTTTGTCTTCCGCGATAACTCCGCATAATGGGTTCTACTTTAGGGCACCCATAACTCGACGCGGACGGGACGCTGAGCAGCATAATAAGCCATTTTTTTTGCTACGTTTAACTGAGACGTGGGATGCTAAAATGTCTCGAAATTGTTCGAGAGACTTCGTTCGAGACTGGCATCCATTTTCCCACTTGATCGTTGCCGACATCTTTAAAAGTTCTTACAAATAGTCCCTGTTGTTAAATTTGAACGATCTGCTCAAGCGAGTCTGTATCATTCAGATGATAATTATTGTTTCCAAGCGTGGCAAAATGCCCTCAAGTAGCCCGGTAAGCGATTACGTTCTCTCGCGTTGCTCCAGCATTGTTTCGACTTTAGCTGTAAACATCGTAGGCTGTAAGCCAACAGTAGATTCCCTCACGCTTTCTGCCATCAATTTTTCACGGCTAACCACGATGTATGACTTGCTTTCGAACCCAAAAAGAAGGCAACAGGTACATACAGCTCTTTCGGGTCACTGATAGTCACATAGATTGAATAAAATAAAAAAATGTGCACCTCACTATTAGTGAGAAAATTGGAAACAAACAAGGCTGTCCTTTTAATTTAATAGGCAAATGTCGTCGAGAACGATTTTTTGTAGTACGTTAAGTACAGATGTGAATGTTATTTATATCAGCCCACAGGTTTTTGCTCAAATAATGTTCTACAGTGTGATCTAAAACTTTTTTCCCGCACTGTCTAACTATTCTATAAAGAACTAGCTACAAACGAGAATCAACATTTCAATGTTCTTTGCAGTGCTTCTCTTCCAGCGAAATTTCATTACGAGACCAATTGGGCATAAGATAAAAAAACTATTGCCACTAAGTACCGGGGCGTAAACTGTACAACATACGTCACACAGCTCTCGATAAAATCCATGATTATAGGTACACTTTATGTTCGACATAAATGTTATGGGCAATGCAATACCATGTTTTGGTGTGCCTGTCGAAAATGATTCATTACTAAATCTGGAGCAGAATCTCTATTGCGAAACTGCTAGAATTATATCGGAATAACTGGCGATCCTCGTGGAAATACCATGGACATTTAGGCACGGTTTGCCGTCTTAACGAAACCGTTAATGGAACTATACAATATTTTATATTACATATTTTGTCTTTATTAACATGTTAAAATATTTATTTTTGTCGTCGAAAATCGTTATGGTATGCATAAAGTCATTTACTTTCTAATCAGCGGTCGCTGGCTTTTTGTCTGGACATAGGTTTTCTAGGTTACAATTAACCTGAAGCCTGGCATATTTGTCCCATAGCCATAGACCTGTTCGATATAGGTTGAAAATGATTTGTCGTTTTGAATAAAGTTTTTAACGGTCTCGTATAACCCTGATGCCCAATTGCGTGACAGGTAATGGGGCTGACGTTTCTTGCCGCCGGCACGAGTATTCCCGATTTGATCACTTCGGTTCTCGTGGCCCGGAAAGGGTTCGGCGATATGGCTGTTTCCAGCTCAGTCGGATCTAACATCTTCGATGTCGCCGTTGGGTAAGCAAAAACAAGTTCAGACAACGTCCGGCATAATGCAAAAAATTCATGTTAATTAAGACAGACTCATAGCCACGCCATAAGTATATAGCTTCAATAAGTGAATCCTTATCTAAATACTTTACCTATAATCGGACCATTGTTTTTGTTAGTAAAAGCTAATAGAGAAAAAGAGAAACGTGCGCCTGAATGATCAACTGACCATAGAGTTATATTAGCAGCATCCGAAATCTTGTCGATAGAGCTAGTAAATTAATCGTTCATTGTTCTAAGTAATGATAGTTTGCCACGTAAGGTCTTTAGATATTCTACGACCTTTTTTAAATGTGTAAAATTATCATTGAATTGTTGTCCCAGTTGAAAAATAAAGATTGTATCTAGTAAGAATGACAAGTTACGAAGCTCAACAAACTTAGATTTAGAGATGAAAGAATTTATTCACCGTGTACAAATAATATAATACATGACAAAGGCTGGGCGAGGAAGCGAACACACTCGATTGTTTCCTGGGCTGCTTTTTCCATGAAACAAACACATTACAACCGCACAGTTCTCGGCGCGGAAAAAGATTTATTCTATTAAAGCATCTGATAATAATAATAAATAAAATAAAATAAAAAATTTTCGACTCGATACCTTAGTAATAAATTTGTTAATAATTAAATTAAAGATTAGTAATAAATAAGTTGTGAATACTAACCTAACTTCTCCATTTCTAAAAAGGGATCTAAGGATGCAGCAACTCCCTATATAGAAAATAAGGCAGTTATCTACTAGTGCGACCTCTCGAGCGTTTACGCGCTACGGAACTGTAATAGTAGATCGTCGCTGTTTGTGTACTAATACAATTAGCGTATGTTTTTTTTCCGTGGTTACTACTATTACTATGATTTGTCCTTACAGCCTGCCGCTTCCGTGGTTCCTGTCGTGTTTGGTGTTCGGCCCAGTGATTGTAAGCAGTTCGGGCATGGCATGCTCCATCTTTATTCTGTTTATGATGCTCGTCTTTGTGATTGTGACGATCGCTATGTTCAACTGGAAAATGAACTTTGGCCTTGCTATGGTCATGTTTCTATTATATTTTATCTTCATCGCCTGTTCACTTTTGCTCGAATACGAAGTGGTCCGATGTCAAGATTTGGTGGCAGCTGTGACCGGTAACAAGGCTGCTGCTAAATAAAGCTATTTCAACGGGGCACTATCTGACCCCGCGTTGATGAGAAGAAAGCCACTAAACGTAAGATATAAGTTTGGTAACATTTGATATGTTCGTGTACAACCCAGCAGGAACAGAAGAGCGGATCCACACAACGATAATTAAACGCAAATGATAAATCAAATGAAGATTTTCCTTCAGCACAAATGTGTCTGACCCGAACGTGTCAATGATTGTGACCGCCGACGAAGCGGTGGCCTCCAATTGATCAGTTTTCTTTTGTTTTATTTTTAAAAGAAGTTCATTGTTTGCCAATGCTAAATGTATAGTAAATCGAAAAACAATGATACAATATTAAAAACACCGAGAGATTAAAGGCCGAGCAGGATGACGCGAACAGTTAACACGGAAACAATACAATAATAATGATACAACTCACCGAACTACATGAATTTTCCTAAGCTCCCGAACTGCAGAGTGCTTGACACTGTTATCTCCTGACGGAAGTGATATAATTTTGCATCCAATAGTCAATGCGTACTATTAACTAATTAATCAGATCATCGTTTCTGTAACGTATCAGTAGACGTCGAAGATCAGTAAAGATCATGTCTCCGACAAAACATCTGCAAACGTTTGCAAGCTCGCAACGTGTTTACGTGGCTGTCGATCTTTGTGAGTATGACGGGCTAATGATTGAAGCTCCTCTGAACATCAAGCCACCTACAAACAACAAGATTGATCAGACTAACCGTAATTTATCAACCGAGTAAGCTAGGACCAGTACAGCTATTATCAACTAAAAGTACTGCTTGTAATTAAAATAGAGGAAATCGGATCAAGGAAAAATCAATAATGATCAGAGTTATTACTCAGGCAACATGCTCCTTGGGGGGTCTCTCGGCACTGTTGGGTCTCTCTCTATGCCAAGTGGCAGAGGGGGACTGAACGAAAGAAAGTGCACCGAGGTTCTGTCCTACCAAACGGAGAACAGAGGTGGGCAAGCAATTCTGCTTCAACTGCCCGGCAGATCAAGACAACGAACCAAACCTATGACGAACAGAAAAAAACTGTTACCACTACTTCTGCCCTCTAAAAGAAAATAAATAGTAACGTAATAATAAAAACAATAGACAAACAGATAAAGAACGCATTACGAAGACTAATGAGTGAAGGACTGCGATGGGCTGAGTGTGATTTAAGATGGCGCCGCCTGCGTCAACTTTTGTATCCGATCGCGAACCACTTGAATAGCAAAGTAGATCGAAAATAAAAATGTGCCAGCATCATCATCCTGTGCGACATAATTAACAGGCACAACAGTAACAATGTCCAATGGTAAAATACAACGAAGATATAAACAATAATCGTCAAGCGATAGAAGCGAATTGCACATACACAGTAACACGCCTTAAGAACTACAGACGGTTAGTTCTTAATAATATCATGAGATGAGGTAATTATCACTGATAAATTTGCAAAGTTATATATATATATATATATATATATATATATATATATATATGATGATTGTTGAGCACCGAATTATTTCGGCTACAGCGCAATTCAAACGTTCTTCGACGACGGCTAAATAATAACTAGAAGAAAGATATGTATTATAGTACTATGTAAGACTGAAATATACACCAATTCATGTATATAAGACCGAAAACTCGATAGCATGAACTTAACACAAAGACGATGACAGTAACAGGACTCACGGAAGAACTAGAAGCGTTAACAACAGAGATAGATGAGGTAAGACCAACATTACGATCAATAGCTAATGGTCGCTTCGACCTCATTAGCAGCAGCGATACCAACGATCACCATTGTTAAAAGCAATACGAAGGATACGCACGTAACATCGAAAATATACGACGGCCTAATAATAATCTACGTAAGTAACGCTGGATAGCTCAATTGGCCCCATAACCCTACGCGAACACTACCCCGGTAGGAACGGTGAAGGTCGAGAAGAGCGTCACTGTATGTAGAAGACTAGCACCATTAGTTCGGCAAATCATTGCCCTTTGATAATTACCGGACGTGCACTTGGAAAAAATCATGCAAAAACCATCTGCGTCTAAGGAAGAGTGATCAAGTGAGACCCATAAGGAGAACGACGTAACGCAACATCGTCGAAACGTAATCAACGGAAAAACACGTTCAAATAAATACAACTCTAGCGAAGTTAAGAACGAACAGACTTGAAATAACAAGAACTACCAGTGAAAGTGGACAATTCGGCAGCAATAAGACGCGAGATCTCTATAGTACGGTCACCCTGTTACTGCAAAACTATTCTCCCTGTCGAGTATTAAATGCATCGCTTTTACCAACAAATAATAATTGTATGGCGCGATTCTACCACGACTAATAAAACGTGTTTACCAGCGTTGTGAGTTGACTGTCAAGGCTCACTTAGGAGTCCGTTTTCATGATGAAAACAAGACAGGAAATTTGTGCGCTCTAATCATACATACAGTCGAGATTCGTGTGTGCTTTAGGTAGCGAAAAAGGCTAGCAAATGAGTAACATAAACAACTATAAACACCGGAACAGCTCTGCAACAGCAACTGCGCAAGACAGAACATTGTAAAAATGGCAGAAACATATAATAACAGCAGCAGCGTGGTCCGCAATAGAACAAAATAACAACAAAAAGCAGTTCTTATGAAAATCATCAAAAAAAAACAAGGTCACCTAAAGGCAGAAGGCAGTGTAACAGACCTACTTCAAAGACGGGAGCGTCGCAACAGAACTTTACAAATATAATATGTACCCTAACACAGAAAGACATAAAGACGACAAGAATATTAAGAGCTTACAGATAGATGTACAGGCTAAATCGAAGCTTTCTTTCTTGTAAGCTGAGTGTCCGCAATTCAGTAAATACGGCAGACAGCGTCTAACAAAACATGATTTGATATATTATTTCCAATAGACGTAAGTGCACACATAAGGTGAATGTAATTTTAGACAGAAGCCGAACAGATTATCCACAGCAATGAGGTTCTAGACAATTCTACTAAAAAAAATAAACTAAGATAAGCACCGAATGAAAGACGAACGAAGCCGGAATACGAAGATAACAATATGGTGTGCTAATGATACGACGACGATAATGATTATGACAATCTTTTGCTATAATATGATTGTCGTTTTAAATAGATTCTTCTAGAAGAAGGAGAACGTCGTATCCATATGACGCCGCGACCTGGTCCACGGTTGAAAGCCGAATTGTTTTCTTGGCCTGATGCCCTTTGTTTTTGCTGCTTGTTGTCCTGTCAAGGAAACGAGCTAACGCGGATCGGCTAAACCGCTGGTCGCGTCCAACGAGTACAAACAACTGTGTTACAACCAATATTACTGAGAGGTGATAATAACAATAATAATAAAAATAATAATAATGCTAATACTACACATAAAATAACTTTTAACTGAGGAACAACCGTACGACAAATATTAATGACTGAAAGGCACAACGGAGAGTGTAAGGGAACGACATAAGCAAGCAGCAACCTACAATGAAGCAGTTCAGCCCCTCCTAAACCTTGTCCTAACTCGTTACCTGCGCCCCAAGCGCTCGAGGGAAATGACGAAGAGTAATGAAAATGAACTAAATTGCTTGCAACAAGCCTCTGAAAACTGGCAATGCTGAACCGGGTCACAATTGACAAAACCTCAATTCATAAAAAAAAAAAACAAGTCATATCAACGTTTGCTCCGCCAGTGCGCGACTGAGTTACCGACACTCTAACACGGAATACATAATGAGTATATATAATATTAACTGGACGACTTTATAAAGGCGTTATGATTTCTGTAGCATTATAACGTTTTGGACTTTTTCGAATGTTTTATATTTCTGTGCTGTTCGATCTTCCTCATTATTCCTCCTAGGACAACCATTAGATATTCACTACTATTGCTAGCAAATTATGAACGCTACGAATAGTTTTTGTTGCGTCCAAGTTAATTGCAACAACAGGCCTAGACGCGTACTATAATAAATGCATACACTGCATTAACCAAAGAGAAGCAGAAATGAAGGTTCCAACACTAAAATGCCCATACCCAAACCAATATACAACAGCCTACGTCAGCAAACCACGAACTTATATGGAATTAACAAATGCTACTGAGTTTTTGTCTTTAACTTTCAATAACAATGGCCAGACTGCGGCCGGCCAGGCCATCAGGCCGGTCAGGATGTTACCAACAAGCGTTAAAATTTAGTAGTAATTGTACGCTTAGTAACTGAGCATCGGTAACATCATCAGGACCTATTTACGGTGTAAAACTAACTTCTGATTTTAATATTGCCTATCGTCCATAGCTCAAATCAATGACTAAGACTTACTTGGTATTTCTAGATTTAATACTGATAGCTGATTGCTACGTTGAATATTGTACCGTGCCTAAATTATCGGGCAACAGCATTTTACCTTTTATAAAGAAGCGAATTTTGTTAACAATGAGGCACGTTTGGTCCTGAAAATTATCCGAAGTCCCGACGTTGAAGGATGCGTCTTTCGTTTATTGGACGTAACTACAGCTTTACGTCCAGCCGAAAGGTCATTTGTCTTCGAGCGACGGCGGGTAAAAAGTTAATATTGCTGCGATATCGACTAATTCTGTATCGTTTTAACAAAAATCAATAATACTTGTATGTATCGATGCCGCCCACGTACCCGTCGTCGTCTGTAACCTGGCATCTAACTCTACGTAAGTCAAATACTCTAGAAATAACTTTCAAGTGAAAAATCAACTCCAACTATCTACAATACTAC